TTAACTGGTCTTCCTTATAGGAATATGGATATTATGGTATCACGGACTGAGTTGTACTTGAGGTAGATCTTGAAGTGTTCTTTTTGATGATGAATGCAATGCCATTCCTTTTCAATTTGTCATTTCTGGCATAGTAGGCCATATGATTGTCTGATTGAAAGTGGCCAGTACCAATCCATTTCAGCTCAGTAATGCCTAGGGTCACTATAAGTCAGAATAGGGTCGCTATGGGGTCACTGTGAGTCGGAATAGGTTGCTGTAGGGTTACTACAAGCCAGTACTGACTTGACGGCAACGAGTAATGCCTAGAATGTCTATCTTCAAACATTCCATTTCATTTTTGATAATTTCCAATTCTCCTAGATTTATACTTTGTACATTCCGCGCTCTGATTATTAATGGATGTTTTGCAATTGTTTCTTCACATTTTGAGTTGTGGTACATCAGCAGATGAAGGTCCTGAAAGCTTTACTCCATCCACATCATTAAGGTCAACTACTTTGAGGAGATAGCTCTTACCCAGTTGTACTTTGAATGCCTTCCAACCTGAGGGGCTCATCTTCCAGCACTATATCAGACAGTGTTCTGTTGCTATTCGTAAGGTTTTCACTGGCCAATTTTTTTTAGAACTAGATCGCCAGGTCCTTCTTCCTAGTCTGTCTTAGTTTGTAAGCTCTGCTGAAACCTGTCCACCATGGGTGATCCTGCTGGTATTTGAAATACAGATGGCAGAGCTTCCAGCATCACAGCAACACAGAAGCCACCACAGTACAACAAACTGACAGATGAGTGGTGGTTAAGACAGTAGAATATATATAGAGTATAATAGACTGTATGTGTGTGTATATTTCCAAGAGAAGACACGAGATGTACATCTTCATAAAATTTTTGGTTATCTTATTTTGATTTATGTTTTAAAGTAAAAGACACTACATTGACTCAGTTACAAAGGTAATATTTTTATTTTTTTAATTATTTGTTTATGCAGTATTAAGAATCATTTTCCTAAAGAAAGTCAGTTACCACCACAGTAGAGAGTATTAAAATGTGTAAGTCCAAATAGTATTTCTTTTTTTTTTTATGAAAAGCTTACTAAATGCTTTAAATAATTATAGGCACACAGTTCACTTATAATAAAGGACGTTAATGGGGAGGGTAGGAGTTAATTAACTAGACCCTTAATAATGTGTCTTTCTAGTCCAAAGAATCTTATAATTGCCTCCGAAGCTAGTTGTATAGCAAGTTGCAAGATGAAATACCTAGATTTGTGTAGTAAGGAAGTGTTACCTTCAGGCAAATTTTGGTGCCTTTATTATTATGTAAAATGACTTTTTAATGATAAGCAATACAAATCAGTAGAATAATTTTGGAGCTAGAAGTCCAATGCCTCCTGATTTACTCAAGGTTAGATTAACAAATAAGGATGAGACTCTCCAGTGAGCGCAGTTTTTGCTCCCTTTGGAGAAAATGGCACCTTTCAGTGAAACTGTATATACTTAGGTAGTGCCAGCTTGTTTGTCTTAAAAAGACATTCTCATGATTACTAAGGATTAATGAAGTGTGTGGTAAATTTTCTTGAAAACTATGTTTAAAAAGAATAAAATGGAACAGAATAGGGAATATTTGCATTAAATCTTAATATAAGAAATATGCAGGTTGAAATATATTACATAATTTCTGCAAATGCTATATCCTCCAAACCAGATTACTTTATTGTCAGTCCCCACAAAGAATATTTAATTTCTTCTTTTGGGATTGCCCATTTTGTAGCATCCTGGCTACTTGAAAAATCTGATCAATCTGTGCCAGGACTACAATAGGATGACAGTTAGTGAAAATAACCTGCATTGCCTCTGTTGCGGCGGGGGGACCGTATAAAAATATATAACATTTTTTAAATGTTTCTGAAAGGACTTATTTGTGGAAATGTTGCTTCAGAAATGCAGGTTTTACAAAATACAAAAATAATCTCCTTAAAAGTTTGAAAGGGAAGGGGGGCTGTCGTGCAGGGGCAGTCTCATTTGCTGCCCACGTCCTCCCTCTGTTCAATGCGTTGTATGCTTACGGATTCCCTGGAGCAGATCACCATGTAATTGATGTGCAGTCTGCATTGCTGAATCTTGGACTGCACCATTCTGTGTTCAAGGGAAGATGTAATCTGATCCCTCTGCTGCTGAGGGAGGAATCTGTTCAGTCAAGGCTTTGACAGGGCATAGTCTCCTCCAATAATCTTCTCGGTTCTCTCTCATTTTTCCCTCGAGTTCTTCTCAGTCAAGCTGCATGTATGTATGTGTGTCCCGGGAAGCGGTTTGATACTGAGCTGCATTTGCCTTTACTGTGGAGTTTTGTTGCCGGTTCTCCTTCCTAATCTTCCTTTTCTGACGTGCCTGAGCATGTCCACATTAGAATCTGTGACATACCTACCTGAAAAAGGTTTATATTGTCAGAGACTGCCAAGCAGCCGGACACACGGGGGCACAGAATCACTGAAGGGGAAAAATACAGAAAACATGGGTTTCTACGGCACATTAAAAATGATTTTTTACAAAGTAAGTAATCTGTTTTCTTCCTGTGTTGTGTGATTGTGTGTGCCTGCCTGAGAGAAGGAAAATCTGTATCATCAGAGATGGCTGCAGTATCCTCTAATTTTGGTGGGTGGCTGGATGTCTGGTATTCTGTTTTATATTGTGAATGTAAGCAAATAATGGAAAGACAATGTGAGCTGTAAAATGCTTTAAATTTAAAATAATTGTAGATTTTAATGTGAGAATTTTCACCAGAAATATATTCAGACTTTAGAAATGTGGCTCTGTTAAATGCTGACCTGGAAATACTCTACCCTTAGTTGGTTTTTAGTGAACGTTTTTGCCTTCAATTTTTCTGTACCTTGTGTGTGTGTGTGTGTGTGTGTGTTGGTATATATATATATTCTTTTTTCTTTAGTTGACTCATATTAAAGTGTAGAATTGCTGTAATATTTGGGATTTATATTTAAAGAGATCATATTTACTTTCTGTGCCTCTTAAAATATTGCAGAATTAATTTTTTGGTTCTAAAATCAGTATTTTCAATAAACAGTATAACATTTAAAAGGCTTCTATAGTCATACAGAAGGTGCTTTATTTTAATAAAAGTATTTTAAAAATAATAATCCTCAAATTTTTTTGAACATATATATTTTGGACATTTTTATTTATTGAAGGATTTCTAAGATGGAAATAAAGTTTGCCTTTAGTGGCAAATGGCATTTGCACCAATGTGTTTACAGGATATCCTGGGAAGTTCTGAAAGCCAGTGTTACAAACTTAATTAGAATGAATATCAAAGTTTCTCATAATAATTAACAAAAATACAAATCTGTGGGAGTTATCAAAAAATTAGATTTTTAAAGTAATTGATACTGACTGACCTTCCTAAGGGATTTATTTTTCTCTGTGTGTGTGTGTGTGTGTGTGTGTGTGTGTGTGTGTGTGTGTGCGTGTGCGTGCATGGCATATACATGCAAGCACGTGGGTACCTGTGTATTGCAGCTTTTTATTTATTTTTGTTTTTTAATTAAATTATGTAAGGACAAGGAAAACAGTGATTTTTGAGGGGAGTCACTTTAAAACACTTCGATGAGTATAGAAACTTCTGAAGGGATGAAATAAGAATTATGCTGTTTCTTTCCAATAGGTAGTTCATGAGCTAAAGATGTAAAAAAGATGTGGATGAGCTTGTCGTACATTCACCTGTAGTCCCTGGTATAAGATCATCTTTATATTTTGGAAAACTTTATGCAGGAAGATAAAAACATAGTTGTTATTATCCTCACTGTGGATCAAAAAGAGTTTTAGAGTCTCTTTGGTTCTCTTTAGTATTTATATTGTAGCATGCTGTGTTATGTTTTCCATGTGAGGCAATAGGAAGGAAAATAAGGCTGTTGCAAAGCAAGGGTTTTCACCCTATAAAAATGAGAATAGCTAGCTATCACTCTGGGGTTTTTTCCCGTAACTTACAGTGCTACAGTAATTAATTACCGAACGTAAATCCGAAAATAGAAAAAGTTGAATCTTAAATAAGATCTCATTTTCTAATTTATATGTATACGTATACTTTATATATATTCTAATTTATATATATGTATAAATTATATATACATATATATGTATATACATGTGTATATATCTATTCAGATGACCTTAGTTAATGAATAGCAAAACATAAAAATTTCAATATTGATATTGACAAAATGCAATTCTGAATATATTTATAGTATAGCACAGCATAATGAAACACTTTAAAACTGTAGGTGTTGGATATACTTTGTAAAAAGGCATAGCTTGTTCTTTTTAAATCTTTCGTTGTTGTTGCTTTTCAAGTTAGAATATTTTGTCCTGAGTATCTGTCCAGTAGAACTATATTCTATGTATATATCAATTGATGGCTTTTTTTCCCAGCTTTATTATACCCTCTCCAGATTTATTTATGTTCTTTATCCTTTTATAATAATGTGTTTAAAGTTCAGGTACTGCCACTTCAGTTCTTATTTCTGATTTTGAAATTTTGAATTTTGTTTTTTATTTTATCTTTCTTAAAATATGTTTTTAAAGGAAAATGAAAATCAGTGAGGAAGGCATATTAAACATGGTCCTTTACTGTGTGGATTAACATGAGATTTTCCTGTGTTGATAATTAAACTAAAAAACATGGAAGGTATATTATTCTCAAGGAAGATATGATGGATACCAATTTTTTTAATGACTATACGTTGTTTTTCTGGAGAAAATATTAGGGGAGAAATTCACCTTTCCAGGGTTGTTAAGCGTAAAGCAAAGTAGAACTAATAGAAGAAGCTCTGAGACATTTATTTTCTATATTAATTAACTATGCCTAATTAACATTATAGGCATATCAAAATTTAAGTTTTTTTTTTTTCATTATTACCAATGCTAACTTAAAATTTGATAGTTGGACAGGTGATTTTATCCTAAACATATCTTATTTGTTTTACTTTATAGATGAAAAGAAAGTTGGACCATGGTTCTGAGGTCCGCTCTTTTTCTTTGGGAAAGAAACCATGCAAAGTCTCAGAATATACAAGGTAATTTTAAATGTAATAATTCATTCTCTGATTATTCTTATGTTTCTTTAAAGAGTTGATGATTCTGAAAGCTTTTCTTTCAGTTTATCCTTGTGGAATAATAATGTTACTAGTACTCTTGACTGTTTAACACATTTGAGATGGTTGCAAATGAGGAAATACATAATTTTAAATTAGAGGAAGGAAGAAGGACTACCACTATGGCCTTATATATTGTTACTAATACACTGAAGTAAGAAACTGAAGTTCTGCTATGAACAAAATTTTAAAATCACAATTTTTAAGGAATTCTAAAAAATATACCCTAAAACATGACTGTCAGCAAATGTATGTTGTTACTATAGCAACAGCTATTCTAGGGTGGATATTTATATATACTAAATGAAGATATATTTACTAGAAGTGAAGTAAACCTCACAATTACTAACCAAATCTTATGAAATTACTGTGTTAGAAATCCCCTTTTATTTGCTTGGTACGTCTTATGTTTTTAACACATACATTTCTACCCAAGTAGGATAGTTTCCATAACAACTAACTACAATTGTGGTCTTGTTTCCTGCTTCGTTCCATCATTTTTGGATTTTGCATCGGTAAAAAACTTTTCCCACTCTCACACTAATTAAGCTAACTTAAGCACAATATCTGTTACTCAGCCAATTAAAGATGCTTTAGATGTCATTTGGAATTCGGTATTTTAAAATTTAAATGACAAAAGTATCTTGAGGGCTTTTTTTTTTGCACAGTTTTCACTTCTTCAAATAACTGATTGGAAGTTAGCAATAGAAACCATAAGAATTTCATGATTGTGACGTTCCTTTTTTTCTCCCAAAATACTTTGATTAGGTTATTTTTATTCCATATGATGCAGTAAAATGAATTTCTCAGATATCATTTTTTGATTGAACATTGTTACTGATTGCATCTCTTCCTTTCAGGGACATAGTTTTTTGTTGTCGTTGTTTGTTTCTTTTTTTTTTTTTTTTTGCATTCAGTTGTCAAAAATATTTCTTTCAGATGCTCTTTTATGAAATTTAGAAATCATAATTAAAATAGTTTTGCATACAAAATACACAGAGATGATACAGAATAGAAAATAAAAGTATCTCTTAGTTATTCAGGCAATTTTTTTTTTCTGTGTGACTTGCCTATGTTAACTGTTCTCCTCCCTCTTACTCCTTGCCTTTTGACAATTTCACTATATTTGGGGACTTCACCAGAGGGTGTGGGCTGATAGAGAGACAAGTAAAACTCTGTTCACTTCTTCTTGATTTTTCCTTCTAACCTTGATAAAGTATTTCTTAGGTGAGAAGTTTAAGTTTAATGTTAAAAATATGCTATTTGTTTAGTGTATAGATTCCCGTCAGCCATATAATTTTGGTCTTCTCCTATTAACAATGATTGATATCAGGACAAAAGTATAAAATTATTCTGTTGTTTTTAAGGCAGCTTATAAAGGAGAACTGATTTTTTTTTTTTTTATTATAGAACACATTTTAGTATAATTCTTCATTTGCTCACTTTTTGTGTCAGGAAAGCAACTGAAAAGGCAAAAGTTTAATTTTTAGTCTTTTAAAACATAGTCTCGCTGAAGCAAAATTAGACCAAACAGCATATTTATTTCCATGTATTTTTGGAGACTTTGTCGGTTACTAAGATATATATTTGATGTTTTATAATATTTCTGACAGATTTTCTAATAATGAGATAAAAGTGCGATTTTCAATCCTTTTTTTCCTTAGAAAATATATCTTATTTCACTTCAGAGGAAAAAAAGTAGAACTTACCTTTGAAATTTGAGAGAAGAAAAAAATAGATTTAATTGTTTAATGTTAGAAATTATCTAAGTATAATGTTAAAAAGATTTGTAAGGGGTGAATATGAATTTTTTAATCTGATGTTGGAGGTACATATTTTTAGCAAAATAATGAAATAGGCTAGATAGAAAAATATCAGGGAAGTTCTTTCATTAGTAATTTATCAAAGCTTAATATTTAACTATTATGATACAATTTTTATATATAGTCTTAGGACTTAAAACACTTTATTATCATAGCTCAGTGACAAGGATTATTTTACAAATGTAATTTTCTTTACCAAATCTCCCTGCTCTGTTCGTTCGGCTGTCTGTAAAACAGAGATGTTAACTACTTTCCTTGAGTTTAAATAATTTAATTAGACACTGAAATTAGAAAGTAAAAGATCAATATATTAGTAACATAATTATACTCTTTCTGCTATTAATTGGTCATTTTTAGGAGATTTAGATATCATCGAGTTGGCTCATCTAGTCTTACTCCTACATTTTACTAATGGCAAAATTGAGTTGTCAGAGTTTTTTTGGTTTGTTTGTTTTAACTATCTCAAAAGTTAAATTATTGGATAAAAGTATTTAAAAGATTTCATTTTATTTAATTTTGCATGTAAGTTCTCAAGACAGACCTGTTGTGAGTAAATGTAACATTTTTAGTCAAGGCTTTTTCTTATCAAATATCTAGACTAAACTTTATCAATAACATTAGAAAATTGGAGAGAGCTAGATAAATATTATAAACAATTTAGAAGGCATCTGGGGCAAACTTAAGTAATAATGTGACTAGTGAAGTCCAAAACATTTGAACATACTACTTCTACATCTGAGTTTATTAAAGTATTAATTAAGTTTTTTAGTCCTTTTTATTAAAAAAAAGAAAAATTTAAACTTGTATTTATGTTATTGAACACCAGTCATAAGAGAAGTAGGACCTGTATGTTCTAAGGAAATATTTTAAAATTATTTTCATGTAACCATGACTTGCAATTTTGCCATGGAGATTCTGTCATTTGGTTGCAGTTAGCATTGCTGGGATAATAACAGGTGGTTATGTGGGAGTGAGGGAGCTAACTGTAAGAATAGCAGAATAGGTTTTGTGTACCTCTGCTCTTTGGGAGTAAGCAAATTAAAAGTAATTGGATTGGTGTTTGAAACATGCCAGGTCATCATTCTCTTTATTAAATTAGAACCTCTTATTCTTAATATCTATCTTTGCTTCCACTCTTACATTTTTTGTAGTACCAGTGGGCTTGTACCATGTTCAGCAACACCAACAACTTTTGGGGACCTGAGAGCAGCCAATGGCCAGGGGCAACAGCGACGCCGAATTACGTCTGTCCAACCACCTACAGGCCTCCAGGAATGGCTGAAAATGTTTCAGGTGACATGTCTAAACACAGCACTTGAAATGCTTTACTTAATTGCTACAAAAAATAAAGGGTTATTCAGCCATAAAAAAAGAACGAAGTACTGTTACATGCTACATCGTGGATGTATCTTGAAAACATTATGCTAAGTGAAAGAAGCCAGACACGAAAGGCCACATATTATATGATTACATTTGCATGAAATGTCCAGAATAGCCAGATCTGTAGAGACAGCAAATAGATTAGTGGTTGTCGGGTTGCGGGGGTGGCAGGGGAAGCGGCGAGGATTGGAGCTAACTGCTTAAAAACAAAAAAATCCATTGCCATGGAGTCAAATAGATATGGAGTTTGTTTTGGAGATAATGGAGGTATTCTGGGATTGGATAGTGGTGATGATTGCACAGAATAGTGGATGTTCTGGGGACCACTGATGTGTACACTTTAAAATGGTGGGGTTTTTTTGTTAATGTGAAGTATATCTCAATTTAAAAATTTTTATTAAAAGAAGGATGCTTATTTTAATTTTTAAGTGTAATTAAGGTAGTCAAATGCTTAGTTTGTGTAACTTTGCATTTGAATTTTTGTTATTGTTTTTTTAAGTAAGACCTTTTTTCCTTTTCTCCAGCACATTTGGTTTGGGGGTTTGCTGAGTGTACTTTTGTTTTCTAAACTTCATTGCTTGGAAGTTAGGCAATTAGGAATAATATGTAAGAACTCTACTAATTAGTCACTGGCGGTAACTCATCTCACTATGCTAGAGTTAGAGCAGCTTCTTATCATTGGTGCCATACTTAGGTATGGCTTATTGTTGTCAAATTCTGATTATTATGTTGGTACTAACACTTTAAAATCTTGGAGATTTTACTGAGAAGTTTGGCTACAACAAAAATTTTCATATTATGAATTTTATAACTGAGGATCCAAACCAAACCCATTGCCGTTGAGTCGATTCCAACTCATAATGATCCTACAGGACAGAGTGGAACTGCTGCCCCATAGGGTTTCCAAGGAGCAGCTGATGGATTTGAACTGCTGACCTTTTGGTTAGCAGTGGAATGCTTAACTGCTGTGCCACTAGGGCTCTGCATAACTTATGACAGTGATATTAAATTAATGTATCTCGTCTTTCAGTAAGATAATGCCTATAAATCAAATGTTTAGAAAAATATCTGGCATGGATTAAGCCCTTGATTAATTATTCTTTGCAAATAATAAATAATATATATTATGTAAAGTATAGGTATCTCTGATGCCACCATATGATCTAAAATGAATATGTTTCGTTACCTCTGGCTGCTTGAACGCTTAGTTTATTAATGCATAAGAGAAATATGGTTGGAAAAGAAGATACTTTATTTGATATTTCAGATTTTTAACATGTCCATTTATGTAAATCCTAATATGTTAAACTACCTGAGCAAAAACTAAATAAATGGCCCCAATTTTTTTCTTCTATAGCTGGAAAACTCACTTGAAGCAGTTGATTTTAAAAATTGCTTTCTACTTTTGAGGCGATTTCAGAAAAGCTAGGATAACCTTTTTTTTTTTTTTTTTTTTTTTAAGTTGATAACTGAAAAGTTAGAGCAGCAGTTCTCAACTGGTTGTGATTTTCCCCCCACCTGGTTTAGAGAAAAATGTCTGTCTGCAGACATTTTTGGTTGTTAACAACTGGGGACAGGGTGGAGAGGAGGGGGATGAGGCCACTGTTGGCATCTAGGGGAGAGTGGTGTTAAGCACAGCTTCCCACAACAAAGAAGTATCCAGCCCTGAATGTCAGTAGTGCTGAGGTTGAGAACCTCTGGGTCAGAGGAATGAAAGGTTTTTTGTACTCTTATTAAAACATTATAGACCACTACACATACAAAGATTTTTTTTTTTTCCTTTTTAGTTTTCATAGTCGTTTGTTGCTTAAACTTACCTTTTCCCCAAGGATTATTCCTAATCCATTTTCCACCTCCCACCACCAGTTCTTTTACCTTAGATTCATAATTCTAAAAAAAAAAAAAAATTTAATTAATTTTTATTTTTTCCTATGCATGCCATTAGAGTTGTAAATTTTTCATGTTGCCACATCCCTATAAAACTCAGATGTTTATACAGCATTTAAAAAATACTTTGGATTTTTTGGATTCTGTCGGATTACGCCAAGAAGATGGGGATGTTGATGTGTATTGTCATGCTTGCACACTCATGTAGTGTGGGTGCTACAGTACTCGAGTAGAACTGAAACTGATTTCCTATCATTTTTATTAGAAAAGACCACCATGATTAAGAATTACACTACTGGTAAATTTTGAATTATCATCATTGAAGACAGCGTTCAGAATATGTGTTTTATGTGAAACAATGTATTTCTTATCAGAAGGTAATCTAGGATAAGATTTATTTTGTATATAGTATGGTCTCATTTTTCCCCAGTGTTTTAGATACTGTTTAGTTAGCTTGTGCTTTACTTAATGAAATCTCCAAATATTACCACATACTGTATTTCATCAAATCTAAGACACCGTAAATTGTTAGATGCATCCCAATTTCAGAAATGTTAATTGTTAAAAATAATGTTTCTTATCATCATCGAAATTCAGTAAACTAAAAAATGTTAGGCTAACTTTTGGTCTCTATAAAGATCTATTTGATTGGTTTTTTTCATACGAATAGAGGTAGTTGTAGTAAAGAAAGCTTTTTCTTAGTTAACACAAATAACATGTAAGAAATTTTGTAGTGAAGGAGTCTACTAGCAAAAAAAGATCAACTGGACGGGTAGATCAGGGCCTTAATCCTTTGAGTGCCGTGTCTGTCTCTGGCACGTCCAGGGTCCTAATGTGCACTGCCTTTTATTTCCAGGGCTGGTGCCAGAGTAACTAGAAATGAATCACTTGCCTAAAGTCTGACAGTGCTTTAATGCCTAACTTGTAGAAAGATATAATTTCACAGTGAGGTAGAGGGAGTTGTGGGTTGACCTATGTAGTGTAGTTGAGGGATAATTAAACTGGCATTAATTTTTACAAATATGCTGTGGGGGTATTTAATGATGAGTTTTCTGTTGTCATAACAAGCAAAATGGGAGAGTGTGTACCCTTACTGTTCTGCTATTGCTCCTCAGGCAGCGATATAGCATTGTTTTCGTCCAGCTCCATCTATACTGACAAAGTACTCTCTACTGAATTTATAAATTGAATGACAACAAATGATACACCGTTTTGGATAAAAAGCAATTGAAACAGAGTGTCACTGCAAAATACAAATGCAAATTAAAGACAAAAACAAAAAGCAGAAATTTGGTAGTATTTAAATTTTCAGTAGCCATGAATTCTGTCTACACTTTTTTGGCATTCATATTGTTGCTTCAGATTGTTAATTTTGGGGTAGGAAGTTGGTCATTACTTTTTGTTCATTTATGTCATTTGAGTGTTAATATGTGGTTTTTTAACTTCAGATTTTCAGAGTAGGTAAAGATTTTAATGACGTTAACATTCTTTTATGTTGAAATTTATATTTAGGGGCATCCTGATATAATGAGAAGCACATATGATTTAGAAGAAAAATTTCTTAGTTCAAATTCTGGCTTTGCTTCTTAATAACTGGGGAATTCTATTGATATTATATAGACACTCTTTATTTTCATTCTCTTTAAAATGGATTTAACACTGAAAAGTTGTCAGAAGTGAGGAAACGTGAATGTGCTTAAAACTATACCTGGAAATGTAGTGGATACTCGATAAATGCATTTCCTCCCTTGGTCAAGAAACCACCTTTGTGAGCCTTAGTTTTCTCAAATCTAAAGAGGAACTATTAATACTAGCTTCATAGCAATTGCTGCGAAGATCAAAGATGAGCATGTGGAAGAGAATTAGCATTATACAAATGTTCTTAGCTGAACATTATTTTAATCAAAGCATATTTATTTGCCTTACAGCTTTGAATGTCCTTTGGAAAGATCTGTTTTAATAAAATATTTTAAAAAAATAATAATATAGAAAATACTTTTGTGTTTTGAAATTGAAAGTAGAGAAAAAGCTACTCCATTGAAGAATTTTATCAAATTTCATAGTAACACTTAGAAAATTGTACATGTTCGCTGACCTGTTTTACTTAGATTGTCTTATTTATTTGTTAGTCAACAAAATATTAAACCTTGTAGGATAGAGTCAAAAGAGGAGGACTTCAGTATTAATACAGTTCAGGGGCAGTACTACCTAAGGTCATAAAATAGTTTACCTGAATGGGCTGTGAAGAGAGCCATCCAGACCAGTGGTTTCCAAAGGCTGATTTGTGAATCACCAGCTTCAACGCTGGATGACTTGCTGCTTTAAAAAAAAAGTTCTCAGCCTTACTGAATCAGACTCTGATGGTGGGTTGTAGCACTGTGTGATCCTTGCATTGCTTGACCAGCTTTTGGAAGCCACTGATCTAGACCACATCCTTATTATACAGGTGGGTCTCTGATACTAAACTAATTAAGGGACTCCCATGCGCTTCCACAGTAAGTTTACTGGTGAAACCCAGGCACAGTTCAGTGTGCCTACTCCTCTTCTCCACTACTTGTATTCTCTAATTACCTGAAATAAATTATCAATTCCATGAGGAATTTTCAACTTTGCATTTGCAATCTTGTTCACAAATTAAATTTTCTTCTCTTGATCCGTTTGAAACTTGGAATGTTTTTTCTATCCCCTAAATATGTTCCTACTTTACAGTGAAAACCACCAAAGGAAGGTGCTTTTGTTTTTTGTTTGTTTTGTTTTCTTTTCCAGGACAATCACTTTTCTAAACAGAAATAAAATAATAATTATCAGAATTACCCAACACTTTCCTTTTATAGATAAAGAAACTTAAGGCCTGAAGAGGCTAAGTTGTATAACCTAATTAATTAGTGGCAGTGTTTTCTCTAAACCTTGGGTCTCCTGATCCCCAGTTCAGTACTCTTTCCACTATTCCTCATTACAGGTTGGTGTGAGTTGTTGTTACTATTGTTTTAATGTAATCATCCACAAGGTTTTCATGTTAATGCGTATTTCCCTTGCTAAGCCATGTATGTATTTTTATTTTCAATGAAATGGGAAGCCATTGAGGGTGTTGAGCAGAAGAATGACTTACTTTTAGCAGTATTACTGACTGCTGTGTTGAAAATAGAATTAGGGGAATAAAGGCAGGAAGCTGAGAGACTGACTAGGAGATTATAGGAAAAATCCAGCTGAGAGATAATGCTAGCTTAGACCAGCATAGCAATGGGGAGATTCTGGCTATATTTTAAAGTTTGAGCCTGTAGGATTTTTGATGGATCAGATCCATCTGATAAAGAGGAGGTGTCAGGGATGATTCTAGAGTTTGGGGCTTGAGCAGTTAGTAGAATAGAGTTGCATTTACTGAGATGGGAATGACCGGAGGTGCAGATTGAAAGGAAAGATCAGGAGATCAGTTTTGGACATGTTAAGTTTCTGTTACATATCCAAGGATAGATGTTGAATAAGCAATTTGGTATATAGGTCTGGCATTCAGGGAAGAAATCTATGCTGGAGATAGGAAAGCTGCCTATATGGTCCAGACCTTTTTTGAAGCCACATAAGAAATGTGATTTTAAGTGATTAAGCTGTTAAATATATGTGGTTAATGGAAGGAATCTCATCTACTATGTAGTTATAGCCATATGTTACTAATCTTTGTCAATGATGTACCTTTCAGTAATGTATCACAAAGTATGTTGGCCATTCCTACTGAATGTATATGTAACTTAAATCAAGATATTTTGACTCTTCTTAAATCAAATATTGTTTAAAATATTATTTAAAGTTCAGAAATATTTTGCTATTCAGACATGGGTTTTGTCTGGAATTTGTCTTAAATTCTGACATGGTTTCAAACAGTTACCTAAAATCCAAATTACAGATATTTTACTCTGGCTTCTTTTTTTGTTCTGCACCCCATTCCCCAAAAGCCTTGATGAAAGATTTTTTTTCATCTATTAGTGGTTACATACCATGTCTTCATATTGTTTTTCTATTTTCTCTTTTAAAAATAGTTTAACAACGCATTAAATTAAAAAAGAGAACATTAAACATATGTATAGCCTACTACCTTAAATTAGAAATATAAATAATAACTATTAAAGTAAATAATTAATAAAAATAGAATATATAGCATAGTAATTTATTAAAATATTTTTTCACTATCTTTTTACTGTAGAAGATTACATAGAGTATCTGTATAATCAAAATTTAACCATAAACACTTCCAAAAATATATTTTAAAACAGACATTTTTACTTGCAAAGGAGATTGAGAAGTTTACACTAAAGTAAGTCAGCATAGTTAGCTGTCACCCAAAATGTGCACATCCTTGTACTAGTGTCCATAAATAACCTTATAATGTAGATAGAGAGGAATAACGTTATAATATCCACCTCACATCTTTTGGGAATGTAAATCAGTGAGTTCATGCCATTGATACTAAATGGTCAGAGAAGAGTGAAGATTGATCAATGTAAATTTTGTCAGGTTAATTTTGAACCAAGATTTGAAGTTATGTGAGAGAAGCCCAACAAAATAATCAAACTTCAAGTTAACGGCTTTTAATTTGGTCCTATGTGTGCATATACATGTATATGTGCATTTTAAATTTTGATGTCTAAATTCTCACCCTGACCAAAAAGGATGCAAGCTGAGTGCTCAAGGTAAATGTTACGGGTATATGTATATATACAGAAGTAAAAGGAAAAGGTGCAACTTACTGGAGCTTGTGTTTTCTTGTGTTCATTGGTAAAATAGAGGAAATCCCAGGGGTTTTACGATGATTAAATGAGATAATGTTAATGACAAATACTATGGGAATAGTTAAGCACTGTTGAAATGTTTGATAATATTACTATAATCTGCACTTTATTCTGGTGGTGTAGAGGTTAAGAGCTATGGCTACTGACCAAAAGGTTGGCATTTGAATCCACCAGGCGCTCCTTGGAAACCCTATGGGGCAGTTCTCTGTCCTATAAAGTCGCTATGAGTCGGAATCAACCCAGTGGCAACAGGTTTGGGTTTTTCTTTTTGCTTTTGTTTTTGTTTTATGATATGAGAGAAGAGATGAAGTTAACTGTAGGCCCTAAAGGGTTAAATAAAAAATACTTTTAAAAGTATTCTGAATAATGCTCCCTGTATCCTCAATATATCTCAGTTTTCAATTATTATCTATTTCACATGTTACAAAATCCAAGTTCCTTATTTGAGCAAGAAATGGAATGTCAAAATCCAGGTCTTTCTAGCTCCAAACCTCACTTGTTTGGAGCTTCCAAAATGGTTATAATATTTCACAAAGATACTTGAATCAGCATAGATTTACAAAAACAGAGGCCTGATCAAGGATATTCTTTCACTAACGAATTGTGAATTATGCACATGGCTTTATGGATTTTTCCTTTTAAGAATCATGGCTTTTCAGGTGTACTTCACTGTTTGGAAAAAAAAAATTTTTTTTTTTTTTTAAATAATCCCTGGGAAAAAAGACATTGCCATCGAGTCGAGTCTATTCCAACTCATAGTGACCCTCTAGGACAGAGTAGAACTGCCCCATAGGATTTCCAAGGCTGTAAATCTTTACGGAAGCAGATTGCCACATCTGTCTTCCACAGAGCGGCTGGTGGGTTCGAACTGATAACCTTTTGGTTAGCAGCCGTGCACTTTAACTACTGCGCCATCAGGGCTCCTCGATAATCTCCTAGTGTCCTTTAAAGGAGCTCATATTTTTGAGCTATAATTATGTGGTTTTGTTTTTAAGTAGCATAGTACTTTATTTCTTACCCTCTTTTGTTCTTTGTTCATGTTCTAATTTTACTACTAAATCAGCTACTATTTTCTGTTGTTTGCTATTTTTTGTCCGAAGTTATTTTCACATAATAAATCAAAGCCCTTGTAATTTGCGGAAGACTCTTGTCAGATGTGCAGTATATCCACTTATTAATTTTTCTCTAAATGATGCTGCTAATCTAACTCTCAGATGAATACCTTTTATTAAAACCATCAAATTTTATAGTGCCCATTAGAAAGACTGTAAAGAAAGGAAAATCTTCTCTCCGAGTTCCCTATTTACTCAGTAACCCAAATTAGTGTTTCTGGAATAAAATTTTCTTGGTTTCTCAACTGGGATCTTGGTGGTAGATGAACGTATAACCATTGTAATAACTTAATCAAAATATTTTCCTGTCAAAACCATGACTGTTTTAAGCTTTACAAAATAAAAGTTGTTAGTAAATTTGATGAGACTAAATGACCACCACGTCAATGCCTTCTGGAGGAGATGTTGTTGTAAGCAGCCACTTTTTTATACCAGTCTACCTTGTTCAAATATGGTTGTATATGGATGTGGTTTTCCTTCATGAGTTTATGATTTGGGACATCTGTAAAAATAATGAAAATTTCTAATTTCTCTTTGATAGAGCTGGAGTGGACCAGAGAAATTGCTTGCCTTAGATGAACTTATTGATAGTTGTGAACCAACACAAGTAAAGCATATGATGCAAGTGATAGAACCCCAGTTTCAACGAGACTTCATTTCCTTGCTCCCTAAAGAGGTGAGTTTTATTCTTCATTGGGTGTTATGAATATATAACTCATCAGCTACCACCTTTAAACATTTTAATGCTAATTATGGTACTCAGTATTGTTAGTTTAATACTCTTAATTAATGTTAAAGAGGGCTATAAATTGACAAACTGCCATGACTTAATAATGTAATTTTCAAATTAAAATACATCTGCTTATGGACTAAGTGACTTGTTTCCACCACTGGAATAAATCATACATATCAGCATAAGCTATCAAGTTTCATTATTTTGATTAGTTCTTCCCTAAGATTGTTTCCCAAGTTATTTGAAGCCCAACATTTGGTTGTTTTGGTATGGTCATCATAGTTTGTTTGTTTGTTTTTAAATTCTGATTTTTTAAAAACAACGATACTCTCCCTCTTTATTTTGTTGTTTATCCCAAGTCTCTTCAGACGAAAAGTTTTATGGTTCTATGGAATTGTAGTTTTCTGCCACTTACATTGTGTAATCATTTTAAAATACTTGGAATTTCACATGTATGTTTCTCTACTGTGATATTCCTGCCCACCCTCATGATACACACACACACAAACACAGATTTCCCATGCCAATTACATTCTTTTTTTTTTTTAATTGTACTTCAGGTGAAGGTTTACAGACAAATATTTTCTCATTAAACAGTCAGTACACATATTGTTTTATGACATTGGTTAACAACTGCACGACATGTCAACTCTCTCCCTTCTCGACTTTTTTTTTTTTTTGGTGAAAATATACATAGCCAAAGGTAACACCATTTCAAAAATTTCTACGTGCACAGTTGAGTGACATCAACTACACTCTTCCAGTTGTGCTGCTATTCTCACTTTAGATGAAGGTTTACAGAACAAAATAGTTTCTCATTAAACAGTTAGTACACATGTTGCCCTGTGACAATGGTTAACAACCTCACTACACATCAACACTGTCCTTACTCAACCTTGGGTTCCCTATCACCAGCTTTCCTGTCCCCTTCTGCCTTCTAGCCCTTGTCCCTGGGCTGCTGTGCCTCATTAGTCCCGTTTTGTTTTATGGGGCTGTCCAGTCCGCGGCTGAATGGTGGACCTCGGAAGTGACTTCACCACTGAGCTAAAAGCGTGTCTGGGGGCCATACTCTCAGGGTTTTTCCAGTCTCCTTTAGGCCAGTAAATCTGGTCTTTTTTCTGTGTGTTAGAATTTTGTTCTACATCCTTCTCCAGCTCTGTCCAGAACCCTCTGTTATGATCCTGGTCAGAGCAGTCAGTGGTGATAGCTGGGCACCATATGGCTGTACTGGACTCAGTCTGGTGAAGGCCTTGGTAGCTGTAGTCTATTAGTCCTTTGGACTAATCTTTTCCTTGTAGCCTGTTCTCTTCACTCTCCCTTGCTCCCAAAGGGGTGAGACCAGTGGAGTATCTTAGATGGCTGCTCACAGGCTTTTAAGACCCCAGACGCTGCTCACCAAGGTAGAATGTAGAACATTGTCTTTATAAACTGTGTTATACCAATTGAGCTAGAAGTTCCCTGAGACCATGGTCCCCACATCTCTCTGCCCAGCAATTCAGTCCCTCAGGGAGTTTGGATGTGTCTGTGGAGCTTCCATGACCTTTCCTTGTAAAAGTTGTGCTGGTTTCCCCAGTATTGTGTACTGTCTCACTCTTCACAAAAGATACACCACTTATCTATTGCCTATTTAGTATTTTCTTTTATACTGTCTTCTTAGCTGACATAATAATTAGTGGTATGCACATAATAATTTGTAAAAATATAAATCATGATACATTGATTATTTAATGTTGTCATATTATTTCTGCTTGCTGACAAAAATGATTGTTACTTTTTGTGTGTAAACTTTTTCATGAGTTTTTACAATACAGGTCTCATACAATATTTGTCCTTTTGTGATTGACTTATTTCACTCAGCATAATGTCCTCCAGTTTCATCCATGTTATGAGATGCTTCACTGTTCTTTCTCTTTGCATAGTACTCCATTGTGTGTATATACCATAGTTTGTTTATCCATTCATCTGTTGATGGCCATCTAGGTTGTTTCCATCTTTTTGCTACTGTGAACAATGCTGCCATGAACATAGGTGTGCATATGTCTATTTGAGTGACGACTCTTATTTCTCTAGGATATATTCCTGGGAATGGGATTGCTGGATCGTATGGTTTTTCTATTTCTAGCTTTCTAAGGAAGCGCCATATCATTTTCCAAAATGGTTGTATCATTTTGCATTCCCACCTACAGTGCATAAGAGTTCTGATCTCCCCACAGCCCCTCCAACATTTGTTATTTCCAGTGTTTTTGATTTATGCCGATTACATTCTTATAGCACTTCTTTTAAAATTATTTATGCCCACTTCTTTTTATATTTTTATGTAAACTGACACTTTTTTATGATAGATTGATTTTTGATCATATGGGCATTCTTGACTGTATAAATAAGGTATAGTTTAGATGCAGTTCTTTTATTGACATAGACTATTGTTTCATTTTTGTCAGCAAGCAGAAATAATACAAGAACATTAAATAATCAATGTACCATGATTTATATTTTTACAAATTATTATGTGCGTACCACTAATTATTATATCAGCTAAGAAGACAGTATAAAAGAAAATACTAATATACCATTGCTCATGATCCTAAAACTTCAAATTTAAACAACCAAAAAAAAGTCAGTGTTTTCAGATAACCATTCTAAATATTCTAAGAGTGCTAAAGGTAGTCCCAGTTATACTTTCACATCAGATATGTAGTTTATCAAATTTAATGTAGGAAAAAGCAAAAGTGGAGAAAACATCTTTCTCCTGAAATGTTTCCTCTTTTTAAATGACATTGTCCCAGAAGAGAAATTTTATTCTTGCTGCCTCATTCTAAAACTAAACCCTTTGAATAGTTTTGGCTTCTGAAAGTGTCATGAGCTCTCTTGCTTCCAGAAGAACGTTAAGAATAGGAAGCACTTTTATAGGTATTTGACTGAAAGTGAATTTATTCACTTTGATTTATTCTTCATACTTTCCCTTGATATCTTTATTTTAGAGGGGAGTAGTTTTGTTAAAATAAAGGCTTTTTTGTTTTTGTTAAAATAAAGGACGATCTAGTTTGTCCTCTTCTCTTTAAAAATGCTGGGGCGTTTACTTCATTTTTGCTTTACTTGAATATCCATGGTGATTTCCTAACAAACAAAGATGCAATTTAGAATCAGAAGAACATGAAGAAAAATTTTAAGATTCTAAGAACTAAGTACAAATTATCACTAACAGGTTAAAGGCAATGAAGATTTTTCTTGGCTTAGTGTTCTTTTAAGGATTACCTGAGGAAGAAGAAGTAAAGATAGGTAGAAGAATGAGAGATGGTCCCTGGTTTAGCATATCATCTGTTTTCCTTATTTTCAACTACTAGAAAAAAAGGTTTCCTGTTTTGAAAAATGTTTTCTTTTATATGTGGAGAAATAATGGTATGGATCTAAGTCCTTAAGGAAATTAACGTGATCTTATTGGAGACTAAGTATTATCATTATTTAATACATTGTTACCTTCATGTCAGGAAATGGACTTACAATATTTTTCTTATAATTCCTTTCAACAGATCTCAAAGCTCTTTACCAACATTTACTTATTAATCTCAGAAACCTTGATAAAAATCTCACTAGTCTCACATGGGAGGCTTGTGATAAACCACATTATCCTTATTTTGTAAGTAAATACTAAGATGATCTGGAACAAAACCTGAATTCTTAAAATAGAATCAGGCAAATGTTTCTTTATTCTTTCTTCTTTCTGTTTTGTTTTTGCTTACTAGTGTAATCCACTGAAATATAGTAATTCTGGGAAGGTACTGGCTACCTTTTAAGTACAAGGTAGTGGTCTTATATATAAGTTTTAGAAAAGTAAAACAAAGAATAGCAACTCCCACTAAAATAACAAGTTTAGGCAAGAAGGGTAATTATCCGAAGTAGATGTTCAGTTTCAGAGTTCTGTCTGCTGAAAGTGGTCCTTAAGAAGAATTACTAATCTAGAGTTATCTTTAAGCCAAATGAATAGAAAATTGCCTGGCTAGACCATTTTACTTGGCTACAAGAAACCTGTAACCCCCTACAATGGTTGTTGAGATGTACAGGACAGTGCCCACTCTATGTCCCCTGTAAGGAGCCCCACATAAAAAACTTTTGCTTCCTTTGAGGAACCGGCATGCTTCCCCATATAGTAAGAATCATGTAACTAGTTACTGTTCCCTTTTTACTTAGCAGTTAAGTTAAAAAACCACATAGGACATTGTTGCCCGCATTATATACTACTTTTTCCTGGTTCAAACCTTCTTTTCTGATTTATATTTTTCCTGACTCTCATTATTTTATTCATATTTTTCTTTTTGTTGTGTATATTTTCTGTATTACCTAACGTTTTGGTAGAACTGGCTATACGTAAATAGCAAACATTTAATAGGTTCAAGTTCAAGGTTTGGTTAGGGCCTTTGCTAATTTAAAGGAAAGTGTCCCAGTTAACACCTGAATTTTTCTTTACATTCTTTGATGCATACAGACACTGCACTAGAATGGTCTGTTAATCGTTGTTACTGATGGAACTTTGCCTGTTGATTTTGGAATGCACCTTTGATATCGAAGTTGTTCTCCATTTGTTATTTCCTGACTTTTAAGATCCATTAAATGTTTCTGTGAGTTACAGCCAGATAACTAAAGAACAGACCTTTTCGTATATGGATATAAATATCTTGGGTATTAAATAGCATCTCTTTTCCACAGTTATTAATTTTATCTCTGATCATTTCTATGTGAAATTAAAATTTGACATAGAAATTAATAATAAGATGACATCACATTATTGGTATACTGACACAAAGCAAATTAAGGCTTTGAGTTGGTAATTTCAAAATTAAGTGGCTTATATAGTCATTAAAAAATATAATGTGTGTGTGTACATATACATATATTGTTGAATACAATTGTGCGTTTTTATTTGACTGACTTGGTTTCTATACATAATATTAGAGGGTCTTCTCTAACAGACCAAAAATTATTACTCCACAAAAAATTTTTCATTGTCACTCGTCGATAGTCATATTAAGTTGAAATGGTAAATGTTCTGTTACATACCTGTATGTCACAATTAAAAATATTAAATTGAATATTGGCTGATTGGAGTGCTTTGTGTATAGATAAAATGTACTAAATAAATATGTGATGAATGATGAAGCTATACAAAATCATTAGGAACACTTAATTTTATATCATGTAATGGCTATCATAAAAAATTCAAATTGTGCTTTTAGTCTGTATGTGACTCTTGACCCTTTAAATAATAGTTTATTTTAATCCTTGTAATTTAATTTATATGAAAACTAAATTTTGTTACTTTCTTTAGATAAATTTTTCTGCTAATAACTTTTTATGTGATTTTTTTAGGCTAATTGAATAAGCATACTCAGAAGTTATCCCTCTTTTTCTTTTTCCTTTATTTATTTGAATTGACTTTATACACTGAAAAATAATTATGATTTGCAGTTATTGGAAACAAAATATTCAGATAAGTGGTATACCACACAGCTGACTCAAGTAAACAACTCTGTCTAGCCCATCAGCAATCTAAAGTTATTAGAACCCAATTATTTTATATATCTATGGAATGGTTTAGTAATTGTTCCTCTTTGTCTTCCATAGTCAAGGTTGTAGATGTTTGAAAAGTTCATCATTGTGATAATAAACACTTTGATTTGATAAAGAATTTTAATTATGATATTTAACTGTAAGAAATTATCTAAAATCGTTCAACACAAATTATATAGGAATCTCACTTCTCATCAGTCAGGCTGTCCAGCAACCATTTAAGTCGTGTCTTCAATAAATTTACATTGTAGTGAGGGAGAGAAAACTGACAAAATTTAAACAACCTAATAACATATCCTTAAGTAAAAAAAAAAAAATTTTTTTTTCTTTTTTAGTTTGAGGCTCACAAATCAAAGGCAAGAGCAGAAATAGGTTTAATAATTATTCCTTGAAGAAGTAAGGAGTTAGTAGAACAGCTTTCTTAAAAACCAATAGGGTGTTTGTTTTTTAAAACCAGCATAAATTTGTTAGATTGACTGTTAGAAGGTACTGTCTTCCATAATTTAGAAATTAGAATGTAGAATTCTATTATATTTCTCTATAAGTACTTCCACTGGAGAATAATTAACTTATTATTTTTATGTTTTTTTTTTTTTTTTTTTTCTTTTCCATAGCTGGCACTGTATGTGCTTTCATTCCTGGAACCCAAAGACCTGCTACAAGCAGCTCAGACTTGTCGCTACTGGAGAATTTTGGCTGAAGACAACCTTCTCTGGAGAGAGAAATGCAAAGAAGAAGGTACGGTTCAAAATCATACAGACAAAATATTGTACTTTGAAAAAGCCAAGTGACCCTGAAAACAAACAGAAAGAATAACAATAATAACTGGATTTTCTTTTTTATTGTTTTATGTACAAGTAGAATAAAGTGGCTGATGAGAAAAGGGAGCTTTGACAGCCTATCAGAGAACGAAGAATGTGTTTTCATTTATAGTCACCCACTTACATAAAACCCACAGGTTATTCCACATGTTCACATGAGCTGAATCTTGCAGCTAACCCCTTCAACAAGCACTATAACTAACAACAAATTTATCTAATTTGCTTCCCAGTCTGAAGTAAAATTCATAAAAATGTGAAGTCAAGACAGACTATTTAAAGAAAATCCAAAAACGATATTACTGTTTAAATACACAAATATTCAATATTTTATTCATTCATTCCACAAATATTTATTGAGCACCTCTTTTTCTTTTTTACCTTTTATTTTAACATTTATTGATAAAAAACATTAATGATGCATATGGTTTAATGGGTAGCTTCAACTTTTTTTTGTTTTATTGTACTTTAGATGAAGGTTTACAAAATAAACTAGATTCTCATTAAACAGTACACATATTGTTTTGTGACATTGGTTAACAACCCCACGACATGTCAGCACTCTCCCTTCTCAACCTTGCCTTCCCTGTTACCAGCATTCCTGTCCCCTCCTACCTTCTAGTCCTTGCCCCTGAGCTGGTATGCCCCTTTCGTCTTGTCTTGTTTTCTGGGCCTGTCTAATCATTGGCTGAAGGGTGAACCTCAGGAATGACTTCATTACTGAGCTAAAAGGGTATCCAGGGGCCATAGTCTCGGGGTTTCTCCAATCTCTGTCAGGCCAGTAAGTCTGGTCTTTTTTTGGAGCACCTCTTTTGAGATCTAACCAAACCAGAAAACCAAACCTGTTGATGTCTAGTCGATTCCAACTCATAGCAACCCTGTAGGACAGAGTAGAACTTCCCCATAGAGTCTCCAAGCTTATAATAATCTTTACGGAAGCAGACTGCCACATCTTTCTCCTGCAGAGCAGCTGGTGAGTTTGAACTAGTGACCTTTCAGTTAGCAGGCAAGTGCTTAACCATTGTGCCACAAGGGCTCCTTCTTTAAAAGCTAGACACTCTTAAATGCTGGGGGTATAGTGGTGAACTGCCATTTCCCTGTTGTCATAGAGCTCATGTTCTTGACATTTATTTTTAAAAAAGGAAAAGATACCCCCTTTCTCACTAGAGAAGTAGATATCATATGTAAGGGAGAACTCTTTTCCAGCAGGCGTCTGGAAAAAAAGTATTATTTTTAAAAATATGTAAAAATATTATTTGCCTCTGAGAAGCAAAAATTTTGAGAGCAAATCAGAGAGCATGAGACAGGTACTTTACAGGTGGTCCCTGCTTTCATGGAGCTTACATTTGAGTGGGAGAGCATCGATGGTCAGTCCAGGTCAGAAAAGCTTCTAGGCGAAGATCCAGGGTGCTTGATTTCTAATCCTGCTCTTGCCTCTGCCTTTGGGCTAATCAGTGAAACTTCTTAAATTTTGGCATGCGTAAAGTAGGATTAATAAGTCCTGCTCTACCTGCTCTCATAGGATCATTTTGAGGGAGAAAGGAAATCATGAATACAAAAATATGGAGGGAACTTCAAAGTGCAATACAGAATGCAAACTTTACTGTTTTGTAGAAATACTATTAGAAACTGGACAGTGTCTTACATTTTTGTGATTTTGAGCATAGAGGAAAATGAAATACTTTACAAAATGTGTTCAAACTTTTTAGGGATTGATGAACCATTGCACATCAAGAGAAGGAAAGTAATAAAACCAGGTTTCATACACAGTCCGTGGAAAAGTGCGTACATCAGACAGCACAGAATTGATACCAACTGGAGGCGAGGAGAACTCAAATCTCCTAAGGTAACTGAACTCTTGTGCAATGTGACAGAAACCATTAATCAGTGTTAGTACCTAGCCTGCTATTTCACTTCTTGGCAAGCAGTTTAACTTGCCACCTAGCTCCTATAAAAAGAAAACAATGTATTTTAAAATAGCTGAAAGTGTAAATGACAATATTCCTCTATTATTAATTCATCTAATCAGAAAACTAATTGTACTTAAATAAAAGACTTGTTAAATTACATGTCTTTCCATCCAAGTGAATGAAAATCTCTAAACATGCTGTTGAATTGTATTGCATCATATACGTTCTATCTAAGAATTTACTGGCTTGTCTGATGACATAGTGTCAACATGATTTTTTAAAGAGTGTCCGTGTTTTGGATTTTGGTTAAATTTTTTGTTGTTTTATTTTTATAAATTTAAACGCAGTTCTTATTTTCTCTTTCTGTCTTACAACATTTCAAGTATTTAAAAAGTGGTAAAAATGCTTGAATTCTTAGATATATTTTTACAATTAAACAATTTGGGGAAACAATGTCATATACACATATATAGATTATAGTAGTTTTTTTTTTTTTTTTTTTTTT